ATGCATATTTGCATATATCAAGGTATTTGCCCAACCATTCAGGGAAAGATTTTTCAAATAATAATCCAATTATGGCAATAGTATTCACAGAATGGGTCCTGAATCCTTCCATTTTAATTACTGTGATGTGATCATCTTATAATTCGCACTAGAATTAAAAACACTATTTCGCAATGAGCAAAATAAGTTAGCTTAGAGGAATCAAGTTGGACAGATTGTGGCTGTTTAGGGAATAACTGAGAGTTATGAATAATTTGACAGCACTTTAAATGGAACAAGCTACACAAACGCAGAAACGAAAGAATACAGTGGCCATTCTAAAGGCCACAACACCTTGGCCTTCACACCTTAGATTAAACCCACCAGTCTTTATATTCTTTACGCATCGTCTAGCACTTTGAGTGCTGCACCTAATGAGGAAGTCTATTCTATCCCAGAAGAATACCAAACTTGGTATTATGTGTAAGATGAAGGTTAAGATTGCTGATACTTGGCTGACATTCAATCTAATATAAATAAATTCTTATAAAAAAATGTGTAAAACATTCCGGTGCTTATTTCGGATTGATTTAATAAATAAATGGAATCTTATATTAATTCAGGCCGAACTATAGTATATGCCTAAACAAAACTAGGTCTATTAAACACACCGGTAAGCCTCTGCTAGATATAATGTCTCAAAAATAAGGTGGTGATAATTGTAAGTATCTGTCTAAATCTTTAATGGCCTCTAAAGTATTTACTGTATATTCATATTATTTAATTTTTTAGATAGAAGCATGAAATTAACCAAATGCCGTAGATTGATTTACTTATTGCTAGACTTGTTCCAAACATTAACTTATAAGACATTAGACGCTTTTATTTTTCACATACTTTAATGATACGTCAATGGAACTTTCCTTTCTTTTTTAAATATATTTACAGTTTTGTCTAATTAGAAATCATGCACTTTACTCCATGGAATAATTCAGTAACTAAATAACTGGATGTTCGACCTTACCGTTAAGTCCTACATTAGGAGAGCTATATTCCTAACTTTAGTATTGAGCATGCTCCATAAGGCTTCATTAACCTCCTAAAGACAGGAAATACTTTTAGAACTAGCCGCAGATAACTGTTATTTATCTTACTACTATCACTTTGTATAGACAGGGTTGCAATAAGGTTGCAATATACTATTATTAGGTTTAAAAGTTCCAACAAAATTTAATGCTCATCACTCATTTACAGTGCAAAACTGTTAAAAAAAAGCATGGATCTGAAGAAGCAACACGAAATACAACTATCCTCTTTACTTGTGTGGAAGAGGTCTTTTAGATTGTCCTTTAGATCTGTGAGGATTTTCGCGCAATAGTTGAGAGTTATTATGTAGAAACTAAAAGATAAGCCTTAGATGAAGGTCAAAAATCGCCGGAATTAATCAGAGCTCTTATAGATGATTATTTGGATCGGATCTTTTATCTTCCTTGTCAACTCTTGAATCGCTGATCAAAATCAACTCTTTGTTTACCTTTCGAATAACGCCAAGCCGTTTCATACTGTGACCATTTATAAACACAAATCCAATTCAGGTCAGCAAATCAGAACAGTCATAAGTTAACTCATACTTACGTTATGAAGATCAGCTTGGTCCTTAATTCGAGACTCTCAGGATTGAACTGTGGCAAGTCAATTGATGAGAACTTTTCTGTCTTCTCCGTCAGGAGCTTCCCAAGAATATTAATATAGGGATTCGTTCTAAAGGTTGCTACTAACCTCTCCCATAGCTGACTAATAGTGGGTGCTACAGCTGCTGAAGCCGAGTTTACTTGCTTTTGAATTATGCGTTTATAAACAGCTGTCCCAAAGTCAATCATAATCATGACAACACTCTTTCGGTGTTACAAGCCCAAAAATGTGTTTATGTACATACAGATGAGGATCACAGTAGCTATCCTTCTTATTCGTAATTTGGTTCAATCATCACTTTCATTTACCACACGACGTGTAACTTGACAAGAGGACGTTTTGTCGCTGAGAATCTGTAATCAGACTATTCAAGACTTTTAGGTTCAACAATCTATCTAGTTCAGCACCTTTATTATTCTCGAAATGTACCATAGACAGGTTGAAAATCCATGAATAATTTTGAAGTAAAGCCCTATTTTAATGAAAATTATTTTATTAAATTGTGGAGGATGCAAGATGCAGATACATTTGTTCCCTTAAGAGAAAGTATTCACCTATGAGACAACCTATGATGACGGTTTTTTTAGCAGTAATGTTAAATATTTTCAAATTTAATGACGGTTCATACGAATTTTGGTGTCATTTATGATGACAATTGATTAGCCAACACATTAAAGCAAATTTTGGTCTAGTTTGCTGCACTCTTGATACTGAATTAAGAAGGTTAAAGCTATCTTCACAATGCAATATTACCTCGAAAATCTATCCGAAACGAAGAATAAGTAATGCCATCGATTGCTATATAAAATAAAGGTTTGCCTAATTGACAATCCAACCATAGAATGAGATATGGAAAATGCTCGACATCCTGGAAATAGGCATCTGGCCTGTGACTCAAGGGCACTCGTGACAATGGGGCGGAGTGGTCACTTTTCAAGTCCCGCTTTGGGTGTTGATAAGACCGAGGCGAGGTTGAAACTGCAGTCCACTCCAGCCTTAATGAGAAAACCATTTTGGAAAGCAAGGCTATGTGAAATTGAATGGAAGCGTCAGCTCAACTCATATGATTATGGGAAAATTCTTCTTCTACCAGTCCTTCATCACCTAAAACGAAATTAGGTGAATACATCTCATATTACTGATTTACTGATTTACTGGTAGTCACGAAAACAATACTTAATTCGAAAAATAAATTAAATTTTTAATATGAAATGTATCCACCAAATTTCGTTCAAGGATGAGTAAACCTTTTGGAAAAGCAAGGCTATGTGAAATTCAATGGAAACGTCAGCTCAACTCATATGATTATGGGAAAATTCTTCTTCTATCAGTCCTTCAACACCTGTAACGAAATTGAGTAAATACATCTCATACTACTGATTTACTGGTAGTCACGAAAACAATACTTAATTCGAAAAATATATTTAATTTTCAATATGAAATGTATCCACCCAATTTCGTTTAAGGATGAGAACAACTTCTGGGAAAGAAAGGCTCTGTGAAATTAAATGGAAACGTCAGCTCAACTCATATCATTGTGGGAAAATTCTTCTTCTACCAGTCCTTTATCACCTTACACGAAATTAGGTGAATACATTTCATATAACTGATTTACTGGTAGTCACGAAAACAATATTTAATTTGAAAAATAAAGTAAATTCTAAATATGAGATGTATCCGCCCAATTTCGTTTAATGATGAGAAAACCTTTTGGCAAAGCAAGTCTATGTGAAATTCAGTGGAAACGTCAGCTCTGAACATATCATTGTGGGAAAATTGAATTAACAGCACTTCATCAGCTTAAACGAAATAGAGTAGACACAGCTCATAAAATGCTTACCTATTTCGTTTATTCATGCCTACGCGCCTTGTTTTGGTGCCCACTCCTTTAGGTTGCTTGGGTACAGACAGCAGCCGATCTCTTGTTGCCAAGGTATGCGGGCTCTTGGCGCGTGCGCCTCGAATCTGCCTGTGATGCGCTATCGGCTGCATGGTCCGAAGGCAACTTGCGTCTGGCCGATCGGCACCGGCGTTTGGTCGACTCAGCCGACCGCAGTAACTGGCTAACTCGTCAGCGCCACTTGTTGGTGTGGCTGCGCGTCTACTTGGCCCAAGTAAATTCGCGTCGACCGCTGACCAACGTGGCGCATTTGGCGTGTCTCGAGGAGGCGGCCGAACTGGAGGCAGACCAGCAGCGCCGGCGTCGTGAGGAGCGCGAGCGCAGGCATGCTAGACATCGTGGCAGGCGCGGTTTGGACACCGGACAACGTGCGATGTATGGACGCAGCAGAAAGCGAAGTCAGAGCCGGCAAAAATCACCATCACACAAGACGCAACAGCAAAAGCAACAGCAACAGCAGCAGCAGCAGAGCCAAAGAGGGAGAAAAATCTGGGACCAGAGGCTACCACAATTGGACAAATCCCTGTTCACCTGTCGACTGACGTTGCCCGACGCCGACGCCTCGAGTACCAAACCGGCAAGTGACCATCCCAGCAATACCCTTTGCCAGCCCGACCTCCGGCTGTGGAACAAGCCCAACGGAGCGGTATCGAGGTTCTCACGGCAGCCTAGCTTACACGAGACTGGCGGACGATGGGCTGGCTTGTAAGAAGATGTTGAAATTTGTTCAATTTTTATTGCTTCCTACTTTAAACTAATTATTCAGGTCCGGACACGATTTTATTAAATATATAAAGGCCGAGTTGTTGTGGCCTCTATTTCGATGCATAGCAATAGTCTAACCTTCTTCTCGTAACTGGATCGTTTTTTCAGCGATAACTAGTCAGACCCACTTAGTCCGAGATCATTTGCTATAGTAGTTATGAGGACTCCAAGCGTTGGATCATGGACTTGGTACATTTGCAGCCGTTTCGCCGGCATTGTAGTCAGCATCGTCAGAGAGTCTTGCCATTCTCAACGGCAAGCTACGATTAGTCAAAGAGACACGGGAGGTCAATCCATTGACCAACTTTGTGCTGAACGATTGTGCTGCTACTCCTCCTTCTGATCTGTGCGAGTGGAATACAACAAGCCAGAAGGAGTGAGATACGATGATGGGCAGTGGGTGGAGATGAAAAAGACAGGAGAAGTGATAAGGCAACCATCGGGCGGAAAGTTGGTCAAGGGATTGACTTGTCTCAATGACGAATTGTGGCCTGGTGCTTAGAATGGCAAGACTTACTAACGATGCGCAGTACAATGCCGGCAAAAGGTGTGGACATGTACCAAGTCCATGGTCCAAAGCGGGGAATCAGCAGACAAGGTGCCTCCAACTAGGTCGCCGTGATAATGCGACCAAGTTGCGATAACCAGGTCAGTCTACTGTTGTTTTAATAAATAATCCCAAAGATATTCAGGTTAAAGAATGAAATATTTTCAGATACTGATATTAGAAATCAAAAGACCATAAAGCCCCATAAATATGCTAGTAATTCATCTATTAAACTGAGGTAGATTAAACCAAGCATTTTAAGCTAAGCTTATGAGATTTCTGAATGTTATTAATTTTACGATTGCAACAGCATATAGTAATGGATTGATGAGGCCTAGTATAGCATAAAATGGCCTTGCAGGAAAATTCCTACAGGCAATCCTGGCTAGCAGTTTAGAGATGAGGCGATTTCTGATCGTTCTTGTGGTTTGAACTACGCAGCGTAATGTAGAAGCACGTGTCGAAATGGTTGGGGATAAGATCAGGACTCGCCTCATCTCTAAACTACTCGGCCTAGATACTACTTCTTGATTGAACAGTGAATATTTTGATCACTAGGACGTGCCAACCACAGTTGTACCTGCCAATTGAGTTTGCCAGTTTAATTATTGAATATAGAATATTATTATTTTTTCATTTCTCTTGCTTTCTTATCTAGGCTCTTAAACCTTTATAATTATCTCATGAATACACTATGCATTTAATAGATAATCTAATATGAACTATATTTGAGCTACACTTAGGCTGATGATAAACTCAGAAAGTGACCATTGATGCTTATTTCTTTCTTGCCAAGACTTTTGAAATTAAAACATGGTACTCGTTTAAGTTGGTAATTTCGAGACGTCTAAAAAATGTCAAGCTATATCAAGAAATAAATTTGTACTGATTTTTACCATCGGCCTGTACTGTGAAATTCCCTTCTTCGACATTTTACTTTAATAGGCTATCTCTAATAATAGGTGTAAATTTTGTTTCTTCATATTTTTCTTTGATTCATGAAATTTTCTTCACAAATAACAGTTTTTTATTTCAGAAGCTTTATTGTTATAGAATAGCTCTAATAGCATGTCACCTTCAAAGCTAGCAACTTAACACTATACATAAAGGTCTAGATTTAGTGAAAGTTTGATGAGACTGATTGCAAAGTATTCAATATCACCCATTTCTTGGCTGATATATTCAATAAATCAGCCAATGGAAAACAGGCAAATAATGAGCATTGTAATGCTGTCTTCAATTTGACGACTCAGATAATGTAAGCTTCTAGAATAAATAATTTTGCAGTTAATATACATGTCATAAAGTTTGAGGTTGATGCGTTCCCAAGATGTTAATTAATGAGTTCAACAATAGAAGAGGTCTGACGAAATATGAAATCGCCTGCTCAATACACTGAAAACTTGCAACACTTTCTAAAATTGATCAGCACAATAAATTTTCGTTTATCCAAGGAGTTAAATTTTCTCATTACCAATTTTCAATAAATCATTGTTAAATTTTTTCATTTCAAATGCCAAAAGTCATAAAATGTTACTTTATTCCTTAACTGGTTGGTCTCATAACAGCAAATGTAGAGTCCGAAATTTCGTGTTATAAGCTCATTCATTCATTGGTAAACTGTCGGTTACGGCTTTTATTAGCCTGATTTTTACTAATAGGTACCACAATTCCACATTATGTAGATAATTGAATTTATTACACTCCCTGCTTGTATTTATTGATACTGCATGAATAAGACAAATGATAAATTCGGTTTTCCTATTGCAATTCGCTTAACTAAGTAGAAATCTTTATGGATAAGGACCCTCCTTAGAGAAAACCTTTGGAAACATATAAACAAGTCATCGTTTTGGAGTCTGTATTAAAATTAGAAGGGACCATATTAGCGATTCTGCGACTTGTTGATTAATATTATATTGTTACACTAAGGATTGCGTCAAAAAGGATTAATATTGATGTATTAATTGGTCATATGTCTCTTGGTGGCCACCAATGTCTTAACTTTGTGAGTATCCGGAAGGTATATGCGACTTGATTCTGGTAGTCTCTCTACATGATGTGTTTTGATATGTTAATTTTGGTTAACTTATAGCTTGTTTAAGGGTGAACTGCAGTTTTGACCTTGTCTATGTCTCATCAACTACTCCAGCTGGACTCTAATCGAGAAAGTGCAGTGTATAATCTCGACAAGGTAACCTCTACACTACACTATATCAAGTGTCCTCAGGTCATAGAGCAGATTTTAATTTAAGGGAATAGAAGGCATTTTTACATATTACATTCTGTGGTGGGATTGCCGATGAAGCAAAGTTGTATTTTCGTATGCGAGTAGGGTTTCGAGACTACCTGTAAATCAGTGTAATGAGATGTATTCACCCTATTTCGTCTAAGATGATGAAGGACTGGTAGTAGAAATTTCCCACAATGATATGAG